GGGAAAGCATGGGACCAGGAAATTGGCGTTCACAGTGGCCTAAGGGTTAATATAGGCCTCACTTCATAATAGGAAGTGTCGTAACTGTTCCTGGTGAAGACTCTTAATGGAGTGACCTCTAATGTGCATAATAATTATGAGACATTAAATCGTCGTGTGAATTGTAATGTAATGGGTGATAATAACACTAAGTTAAGAGAATGTTGAAGGGAAATAAGTCGCTGTTCTCCAAGTGAACACGTGTAGACCTCGTGGTTCCTGTCCCGGGGATAGTGAAGTTTTTATGGAGTCACGACTTCTAAACCGGGACAAACCAACGGATACCTCGTCCTGCTGGAATAAGAACTGTGTCGGTGTAGCAGGACATCGAAATGAGATGGTGAATGGAGGAAATAAGGAGTATCAATCACCCACAGTTAAGTAACCCTTCTAGTTATAGCAACTGATACTGGCCAGTTAGGTATGTTGTAATTGGATAGGTTATGGGTGATCCAGCTACATCAAGTGACCACCAGAGAATATCTGGTAAGTGGTGGGATTATATACAAGTGTTTTTCCTTGATGGATATATCCATGTGTAACCTACCCCCCCCCCCTTCATTCAGTTAAACTAATATAATCTATACAGTCCACAATTAATTAGTAGCGCCGTACTGGTGGGTGCTATTCTATTCATACTGTCTCTGATAGATATGGATAAGATTGTGAGGTCAAAGGAACCACCTGCAGTGACCAGGGGTGGTTAAGTTTTCTCACATGTCTACACGGGGTGACTACGGTAAACAATATGGTTGTTGTCTCCCAATGAGATTACTTGTATGCATGTAATGTTGAGGTACATACAGGTAACCCCCTATAAAATTTTCCATATCTGCCCGCTGGTCCTTCCTGAACCGGATGCAATCAGTGAAAAATTGAATTAATTACTTAATAATTAAGTGACTGATTGAAGGAAGTGGGTATAGGGTACACAAATTTAATCGATCGTGTGGTGGATGATAATTAGCCCAATTAATTGCTAGCATATATGTGGCTAGGATTTATACAAGAGTAAAATGCAAGAATTACTCTTATAAAGCGTCTACTTAAGTTGTATAATCGGTGATTAGTAATCCTATAACCATGACTGGATCTGATGGAGTTAATGTGGCTGACAAGTCCATGGATTTTAAAGTAATGGAAGCATCATTACAGGCTATTAAAGGCCATATGACGAAGGCATACATTAAGTGCTTGGATTTAATGAATCAAGAAACCGTGAACCTTAATGAATTAAAGTTATATTTAGATGTTTTAGAAAGTAGATTTGAGTGGTACAAATTGTGGTATAAAGACTGTGAAAGAGATTTGCTGGAGAATTGTGCAGATGGAAAGGAAATGAATGTTTTAATTAATCAACATTACGAATTGGAAGAAAAGCTGTCCTGTAAAAGTAAGGCTTTGAGTAAATTAAAGGGTGTAAACCAGGCAGTTGATCAACCTATTATGCAAAGGGTGTGTTTGCCAAAACCTCCAGAGTACGGTCTGGAGGAAATCAGACTAGGTCGGCAAGAATTATTGTTCAATTGCAGACCAGTCAGCCTAACAGTTGTAAGGATATAACACATAATGACTCTGAGGTATCTGTCAAGTCTCAAAAGGAAAAAATAATCCCAGTGGTAATAATCATAATTAAGGGTTACATAGGCACATATCAAGTGAAAGGAATCAGTAATAGTGGTTCCTCACACCAAGGTAAGAGGAATAAGTACCTCAGTAAGGGTAACCCAGTTGATAAGAGGTCAGGCAAGGAAAAGAGAGACTGTCTCTTCTGCAAGAGTACTCATTTCACTAAGAATTGTAATGCCTATAATTCATGGGATATTAAAGTGGAAAGAATGGAAGAACTTGACAGATGTATCAAATGTCTAGACAATCATAATGTAAAGGATTGTCATACCAAACTGAACAGTTGCTATCAATGCAACAAGGGAAGGCACCATACAGTTATGTGCAGGGTTGTATGTAATTCTTATAATAATGGTGACAATAATGATAATGTTAATAACCCTGACACTACACTGACTGATGTAAAGGTTGCATTATTATTATAATCAAGGGGAAAGCGCTAAACCCGGAGGATTATACAGCGCCTGGGGGGGGGGATGTGGAAGGCATTCAGGCTTAATTCGGGGAACTGGAGCACAGATCCAATTCCCTAAATCAAGAGCCCCTCACCAACATCAAGGAACCTTCCTTGAGGGGTGTAAAGGTTGCAGCTAATGGCAATAATGATGGCCTAGCTGAGGTAGCCTTGCCGGTGTTGGATGTAATAATTATTATTATTATAATCAAAAAGAAGCGCTAAGCCACAAGGGCTAGTTGGATGTAATAATTCAGGATAAAGGGCATAAATCCAAAACTATGCGGCGTCACTCTCCTCAACACTGGTACGGGCCATGTAATATATGGCAGACTACCGCATAGTAATAATGACTAGAGGAAGTAGTAAATACAGTCACGGTGTCTTACTCATAAAAGGTCAACCCAGTACAAGTATTCTTCTATCGAGGATGATGTTGAAGCAGTCTAATTTATGGGAGCTGGACAGCATAGGGATTAATATAAATGAGGAAAGTCCAAATGATTCCTTCACTCAGGAACAATACCTGAAGGATGTTAAATTTGAATCTGGACATTACTGGGTGCGACTTCCGTGGAAGCTGAACCGTCTAGAATTATCTACTAATTATAGGATGGTATATGAACAGTTAAAGGCTCAGCTCTGCGAACTGAGCAAGACACCAGGGTTGTTGACTGCTTATAATGATATAATTAATAAACAGTTAAATAATAAATTGTTCCTACTTCAGGCGACGATAAATGCGCACCTTAATGCACAGTTGGTCCACTGAGCGTAGTAATTGGGTAAATAATCTTATGTGGACAATTTCCTGGGTCTGACGTCAACTGAAGAGGAACTAATGAAGATATATGAAGGGGTTAATGAAATAATGCGAGGTGCAAGGATGCCCCTGAGGGAATGGAACAGTAATTAGTCCATTTTGAGGGATCAATAAATAAAGATAGCCGTGGAGTTGAAGTGCCTTTATGCAGTAATGTACTGGGGCTGACTTGAGATACTGAGAGATACTTGTTATTGTTAGAGTCTGATAATTCCAATATGCCCAATAAATTATCCCAGAGAGTATAGGCTTAGTGTCACACCTTACAATAAGAGGGAAATTGTTAATACAAGAAGCATGGAAGTTTGAATGTACTTATGATGGAGCCCAACCTGAGGAGTTAACAGGTGGAAAGAATTAATTGGCGATTATGTAAATACCAATGTTGGAGTTCCCAAGCCAGGTGGCCAGTGAAGATGGGAAAATTGTACTCCGCATTATTTAAGTCGTCTAACAATGACCTCCGCTCGGCCGCAGTGTGGAAAATGTTTAATTTTCCGAAGCTATAGTACCTAATAGGTGTTTAATGTGTTGATGTGAGTCAAAAAATGTATTTGAAAATGGACTAGAACCAACAGGGAAGCTCTGCGCCTGCGCTGATGGGCAGGGGACAGGTCGAGACGGGGCATGAGGGAGCGGGAGTGTTTTGAATGGAGTTAAGAGGCTGGGAAAGCATGGGACCAGGAAATTGGCATTCACGGTGGCCTAATAGGAAGTGTCATAACTATTCCTGGTGAAGACTCTTAATGGAGTGACCTCTAATGTGCATAATAATTATGAGACATTAAATCGTCGTGTGAATTGTAATGTAATCGGTGATAATAGCACTAAGTTAAGAGAATGTTGAAGGGAAATAAGTCGCTGTTCTCCAAGTGAACACGTGTAGACCTCGTGGTTCCTGTCCCGGGGATAGTGAAGTTTTTATGGAGTCACGATTTCTAAACCGGGACAAACCAACGGATACCTCGTCCTGCTGGAATAAGAACTGTGTCGGTGTAGCAGGACATCGAAATGAGATGGTGAATGGAGGAAATAAGGAGTATCAATCACCCACAGTTAAGTAACCCTTCTAGTTATAGCAACTGATACTGGCCAGTTAGGTATGTTGTAATTGGATAGGTTATGGGTGATCCAGCTACATCAAGTGACCACCAGAGAATATCTGGTAAGTGGTGGGATTATATACAAGTGTTTTTCCTTGATGGATATATCCATTTGTAACCTACCCTTCCCCCTTCATTCAGTTAAACTAATGTAATCTATATAGTCCACAATTAGTAGCGCCGTACTTGTGGGTGCTGTTCAATTCATACTGGTCTCGGATAGATATGGATAAGATTGTGAGGTCGAAGGAACCACCTGCCGTGACCAGGGGTGGTTAAGTTTTCTCACATGTCTACACGGGGTGACTACGTTAAACAATATGGTTGTTGTCTCCCAATAAGATTACTTGTATGCATGTAATGTTGAGGTACATACAGGTAACCCCCTATAAAATTTTCCATAGGTGCAGTTTAGCCATTGCAAAGGATTCCCATAACAGTTCAAGCTTCAGGGCCCCAAAAACATAGGTCCGCTATCTACCTGTACCTAAAAAATTTAGACTCACTCACGTAACCCAAAAGAGTCAGTGACTTATTTACATTAATTTTATTTACATTGGGAACTCTACAGAGCCTGGGAAAAGGCAGGCAATTAGGTTTTGTTGTATGGAAGGGAAGGGTAGCTCCAATTCCCCGCATTAAGAGCTCTTGATCATCATGAATGCCCCTCCATTGACGGGATGTGAGCTCCAGAGTGGGTATTAATACCCTGGCCACCTCTCAACATCCTGGTGAATAGCTGGGCAGCAGCTGACGCTGCCTCCCACGCTGCCTCCCACGCTGCCTCTCACACTGCCTCCCACTCATAACTCAGGCCGCCTATCATCCGTCATCACATAACATAATAATAATGCTCATCTTAAAGTACTTCCTGCAATTTATATGTGACCGGAACATAACTGGAGAGTGTTGGGAGGGAGGAAGTTGAAGCCCAAGTCGAGGTCAGGGTGAGGGTTGGAAGGAAGGCAGGTGTTACACGTGGTACACAACATGTGTTGTACCACGTGTTGTGACTCCAGCCTCAGTACTGCACCAGTTACCACAGTACTCTGGTGCAGCCACAGCCTTCTACAACAGTTTGATCGGTGAGAGAGCGGGCATCAATTAGTGCACGGAGGATTAAGCCTTCATAACTCCATGTGCTGAATGATCCACACGGGTTTAGTTCTTCATTCAGCAGAATACAACTGAAGAATAATACACAAGTTGTATACACTAGGACCAGATAAATATACACCTCAATACACAAGGTAAACGTTATGTAATATGGTGATAGTGGTAGTAGTAATGGTAGAGGTGGTGGTAGTAGTAGTAGTGGTAGTAACAGTAGTGGTAGTAACAGTAGTGGTAGGGGTGGTGATAGTAGTGATTGTAGCAGTAGTGGTAGTAGTAGGAGTGGTGGTGGTAGTAGTAGTAAAAGTGGTAGTGGTAACAGTGGTGGTAGTAGTAGTGGTAGTGCTAATAGCGGTGGTAGTAGCAGTACTACTTGTACTACTACTACTACTACCACCTCCACCTCTTCCTGCCTATATATAGCCGTCCTGCTCCACCTCTGTTAGTGTGACTTTGTCAATGGTCCAAGTCGGACCGAAACGTCGTCGTAAGCTTCTCTCTTTTATGTGCGGGTTATTTGTGTATAGTAGCAGTAGTGGTAGGAATCGTGGTAGTAATGGTAGGAGTGGTGGTAGTAGCAGTAGTGGAAGGGGTGGTGGTAGTAGCAGTAGCGGTAGGGCTGGTGGTAGTGACAGCAGCAGTAGTGGTAATGGTGGTGGTAGTAGTGGTGGTAGTAGCAGTAGTGTTAGGGGTGGTGGTAGTAGTAGTGATAAGAACATAAGAAAGAAGGAGCACTGCAACAGGCCTACTGACCCATGCGAAGCAGGTCCATGTCCCCCCCGGATTAACCCAACGATCCACCTAGTCAGGTCACTTCCACTTAAGGAAGGAACAAAACCTAGTAGCACAAGCTAGTCAGGTCCAACTCACACCCACCCACACCCATTCAAGTACATGTATTTATCTAACCTATTTTTAAAACAACACGTCTTAGCGTCTGTGACGGTACTCGGGAGTTTGTTCCACTCATCCACAACTCTATTACCAAACCAGTGCTTTCCTATATTCTTCCTGAATATGAATTTTTCCAACTTGAAACCAATGCTGCGAGTCCTGTCTTGGGTGGAAATTTTCAGCACGCTATTTACATCCCCTTTATTTATTCTTGTTTTCCATTTATACACCTCGATCATATCCCCCCTAATTCTATGCCTTTCATATGGAAGATTTCTGATACATGGGATCATCTTTGTCATCCTCTGTACGTTTTCCAGAGCTTTATATCCATTCTGTAATACGGTGACCAGAACTGAGCAGCATAGTCTAAATGAGGCCTAACCAAGGATATATAGAGTTGAAGAACAACCTGAGGATTTCTATTATTTATACTTCTAGATATGAAGCCAAGAATTCTGTTAGCTTTATTGCGAACACTAATGCACTGTTGTCTTGGTTTTAGATTACTGCTAACCAGAACTCCCAAATCCTTTTCGCAATCAGTAGTATTAAGATCTACATTATTTAGTTTATGTGGCATGGTTATTTAACTGTCCAACATTTAGAACTTTGCATTTGTTAATATTAAACTGCATCTGCCACTTCTCCGACCACTGCATCAGTCTATTCAAATCATCCTGGAGTGCTCTAGTGTCCTCATTAAAATGAATTGGACGGCCTATTTTGGTGTCATCAGCAAATTTGGTTATGTCGCTATTTATTCCCTTATCTATGTCGTTTATGTAAATTGTTAACAAGGGGCCCAACACTGACCCCTGAGGAACACCGCTTGTGACGTGCCCCCATTCTGATTTCTCCCCATTTATGCAAACTCTCTACTGCCTATTTGTCAGCCATGCCTCTACCCAGGAAAAAATTTCTCGTCCTACTCCGTGTGCCTTAAGTTTCCTCAATAGCCTCTGGTGTGGAACTCTATCGAAAGCTTTACTGAAGTCCATATACACAATATCATATTCATTATCATGATCTGCCTTGTTTTGGTTTTAGATTATTGCTGAAAAGAATCCTAAATCCTTTTTGCAGTCAGTAGCATTAAGATCTACATTATTTAGTTTATAGTGGTAGTGGTAGTGGTGGTAGTAGTAGTTATGGTGGTAGTGGTAGTGGGGTGGTAGTGGTAGTGGGGTGGTAGTGGTAGTTGGGTGGTAGTGGTGCGGGTGGTGGTACTGTTGGTGGGTGGTGATGGTGAGAGTTATGAAGTAGTGGTGGGGGGTAGTGGGGGTGGAGGTGAATGGTGATGGTGAGGAAGTAGTGGTGGTAGTGGTAGTGGGGATGTGGCAGTGGTGGAGGTGGAGGGGAAATAGTGATGGTGAGGAAGCAGTGGTGGTGGTGTAGTGGTGGTGGGTGTGGTGGTGGTGGTAGTGGTGGTGGTAATGGGGATGTGGCAGTGATGGGGGTGGAGGGGAAATGGTGATGGTGAGGAAGCAGTGGTAGTGGTGGTGGTGGGGGTGGTATTTATAACAAACACAGGTGGTAGTCTGCAGGTTAGTAGCACCTGGTGGTAACTAAGCCAACAAACAAAGCACTCAGCAGGACAGAACAAGGACAAGGAAAACAAGCAGGGGTAGAGTTGTGCAAGAAAGGTATAAAATACCGACAATATGAAAGTTAAGACACATGTGCAACATCTGGATATCTTTATTGTAGACGTTTCGCCATCCAGTGGCTTTATCAATACAGATTCTAGGCCATAATAGGAAGACAGTAGAACTATATACAAAAGATGAGGTAATCAGTCCCTCAGCCTTGGAGTTAGTGTTCACAGCATCGTGGTGGAGGAGAATCTGGAGCAAAGGCAAGAAGACTGGAGGTTATATAAGCGTCAGTGGATAGGGACGTGCAGCAGACGAGGGCATAGTCACTGGTAGGCTTCTAGCAGTGAGGTGCAGTCTGTCTCTCGCTGTGAGGAGGCTGTAGGTGGGGAGGTAGCAACGGCTACCAGCAGTGAGGTGCAGTCCAGCACCTGCTACAAGTGGCGAGTGGTAACCAGTAATGGGAGGAGAATCAGAATAAGGAAAGTTAAGAGTGAAGATCTGAAGGTAGGAAATCTCTTCTCTGTTCTTCAGGATGAATGTACTTCAGTGGCCAGTGAAGGTAAGGGGGTACTTGCCCCTGCTAAAGAGGTAAGGCATTTTTTGTGGTTGGTGACTCTCGGTAAGATATTTGACCGTGCTTTTTGTAATGGGAAATTTTAAGAAGAGGGAGGTTTAGAGTGTGTTTCCTGGAGTGGTTTTGGGGGGATAGTTAACAGGTGGATATATTGTCAGGAAATGGGAAAAAGCCTTTTTTGTCTCAGTGCTGGTGGAATGTATTGGAAAGGGGTTTAGGAGAGAAGAGCTGTAGGTAAGTACAGGTCAGCTTAGATTTCATTAAGTCTAAGGGAGGGGGTCCCAATCATAGGTAGCATTTGCCTAGAAGGGGAAAGTAGGAAATGAATGGTTGTCTAGGGCAATTGGTTGTAAATTGCTGGCTAGACAGATATGCAAGGAACTTGCAATCCAATTCATTGCAACTGGAACAACTTTTATGGCAAACATTGATATGTATGCAAGGGATGGGGTTATCTCTCTGGGGTGGGGTGGTAGCACTTGCAAACTCAATTGAGAAGGCCATTGGGTGAAATGCCTATGATTTTAAACTGATTGAAAATAGAGGTATGGGTGTGTGTGGGAAACAAGCAGGTTGCAACACTAGGGTTGGAATCAGTAAAAAGTATAAAGGCATTCAGCATGAAGTTATAAATAAAGACAATAGGGTCAGGTCAGCAAACAAAGGGGGACAGCAGAGGACAGCAAGGGACTAGCTCCTTAAGGTTTACTATACTAATAGCAGGAGTGTAAGAAATAAGATAGATGAGTAAGATTAATTGCAAGTGCAGGAAACATAGATATTATTGCTTAACAGGGGACCTGGCTCAATCTGAAAGATAGAGAGATGCCCTCTGAATGTCACATACAAGGCTATAAATTATTCCACACTGACAGGGTCAACAGGAAGGGTGGGGGAAAAGTAGCGAGTATGTCAGAGGACAATTTAAATTGTTGTGTTAGACAAGATTTAAAGTAGAAGCGTCAGCCACTGAATCTGTTGGTTACAGCTTCTGAGGGCCGGAAAAACTAATTTTGGGGTTTTGATTTACAGGGCCCCAATCTCGAAAGGGAGTGCAGTAAATTCTATGGGACGAAATTGTAAGGCATCTACATACGAAAATGTTTTTGCTAATGGGAGATTTAAAACTATAGACAGATTGATGGAGCAATTTGACAGGAAATTTAGAGTCAGGTGACTTTCTTGATACGATCCGGATTGTTTTTTAAAACAGTTTGTGACAGAGCCAACTAGAGGAAATAACTTCCTTGATTTGGTTCTTGCCAGTAGGGAAACACAAATTTAAATAATCTTGAGGTTAATGATGAGCTTGGGGAAAGTGATCACAAATCTTCAGTTTTAATATATCATGGAATTCCCTAATAATGGCAATCAAGTCTCCGTCCCTGACTTTCGCTTGGCTGTTTTTCATAGGACTGAAAAATTAACTTAGGTGGGCTGAAACTGGAATGACCTGATAAGGGTAGGTAGGTGGTGATGATTGCCGATATGATGCTTTCCAGGGCATAGTTCTAGCTTCTCAGTCAAATTATGTTCCAAATGGGGAAATTTCAGATCAACCAAAAATGATCCTAAATGGATGAACAATAGATTAAAATATTGATTAGTCAAAAGAGAGGCATATATAGGCAAATCAAAAGAGGAGGGGGACAATTAAGAAATCGATTATTCAGTTAAAGAGAGAAATAAAAAAGGGAATTAAAAAAGGGCAAAAAGAGATTATGAGGTTAAAAGTTGCAAGAGAATCGAAGACTAAACCCCAAAAGGATTTCTTTCAGGTATACAGAAGTAAGATCAGGGACAAGATAGGCCCACTCAAAAGTTCCTCGGGTCAGCTCACTGACAGTGATAAGGAAATGTGTAGAATTTTTAACACATACTTCCTCTCAGTTTTTACACATGAGGATACCAGCGATATTCCAGTAATGATAAATTATGTAGAACAGGACGATAATAAACTGTGCACGATTAGGGTCACAAGTGACATGGTCCTTAGGCAAATAGATAAATTAAAACCTAACAAATCCCCAGGCCCTGATGAACTGTATGCAAGGGTTCTAAAGGAATGTAA